GGAGACGAGCTGCGCGGATCCAGTCGATCAACACCTCAGTGACGTCACCCTTGCTGCGCAAGGGGAACACCGTGGTGTAACGCGAGTAGTCGTCAACCACCAACAGGAAGTAACGCTCGTGACCCTGGCCACGGACGCGGGCGGGGCCCCACACGTCCATGTGAAGAGTCTGCAGCGGAGCCTCTGTCGGAGGAAACTCGGAGGAGTGAGGGGCGGCGCGCTGCCGCCCCTCGACGCAGGGAACGCAGGTAGGGGCAGGCCCTGGAGGAAGAGGAGGGAGGGACCGGGGGAGACCAGAGACAAGGTAACGGGAGGCCATGCCTCGGAGACGAGGCAGGGAGGTGTGACCAAGGCGGTGGTGCCAGAGGAGAGTCTGGTGGGACAGGAGACGACACGAGCAGGGAGCAGACTCAGGACCAGACCTGGACGCTGCAGCAAACACCTGACCCGACGCAGCTACCTGACCAGACTCAGCAACCGGAGGAGACTCAGTAGTCAGTGTGTACAGGCTCGACCCCGGCTGACGGGTAAACGTGGCCAAGTGTCGGCCCGTCCGAGCACACGTACAGTGGGTCACCCGCTGACTCGCAGGAGTGAACTGGTCAACCCCCCCATCCTGTAGATCAGCACCACTCACCAAGTTCGTAGAGAACGAGGGGAGGTAGAGACCTGACAGGGTGCCAGAGGGGGCCGCCGGACACGGTAAGACAGTGGAGAAGTGGGCAAGGACAGGACCCCCAGAGGGGTCCGCCAGGGAGACCGCAACTGGCCGACTAAGCGGCGTAAGCGTGGTGCGGTCTCGAAAGAAGGAGCGGGAAGCACCCGAGTCAAGGGTGAAGGTGTGCAAGGCCTGAGCCGACGTGGTACCTGAGAGAGCAGACTCACCAGCACCTGGGGCAGCAGACGCACTAGCACCGAGAGCAGCAGCCTCACCAGCACCTAGAGCAGCAGCCTCAATGCCCGGGTCAGGCGGAACACACAGGTAACAGTCACCCTCATCACTAGTAGACACAACATACATGGCAGCAAGAATGACATCATAATCTAGATCAAAGATAGCAACCCCCGACCTAAGGAGCTCGCCCCAGCGGGGGATCTCAGTGGCGTCAGGGAACTGGAGACGCCAAGCGTCCGTCAGGCGGCCGAAGCAGCGCTGGGTGGTGTGCGGGCCACCGCACGGCTCACCAGTGCGGTCGCCGGTACGCAGGACGTAGGCATAGGGACCAGCACCCCCACCCCGCTGACGCGCAGCGTACCACTCACGAAGCTGCTGGGGGGGCGGGGTCTCACGAGTGCGCTGCTGCTGCTGGCGCTGACCACCACCGAAGCCGCCGCGCTGCGCAGAGCCACCCCGACCAGCTCCACCTCCGCCGCCGCCACCTCCGCCACCGCCGCCACCGCCTCCTCCTCCGCTCCCACCGCCACCGCCGCCGCCGCCTCCGCCTCCACCGCCGCCACCGAAGCCCCCACCCCCGCCACCACTCCCACCGCCACCCCCACTCCCTCCGCTGCCTCCACCGCCACTTCCACCGCCCCCGCCAGCCCCTCCAGCGCCCTTGCCCCCCTTGCCCTTGCCGGTGCGGCGTCTCCCGCTAGGGGCAGACGCAGCGCCGACCGACTCGGTGCCAACGAAGTCGACGGCAGCAGCAGAGGCAACAGAGGGCAAAAGTGGGGAGGGGGAGCACCCCTCAAAGAAGGGGGCACGAGGGTCACCACGAGAGGCTCCTACAGCGACTATACTCTTCTCAGCTGCCAGGAGGCGCTCCTCGAGGAGGTCAACGGTGAGTGTGGTGGGGCAAACAGAGAGGAAGTGGTCCCTGACCGAGCGAAGGGAGTCAGGGAGCCGGGTGACTATGTAGTAGAGGGTGATGTACATGGGGGGGGGGTTCTTGGCGCAGAACTCAGCAGGAAGCGCAGCGCGGTAGCGGGTGTCACTAGTGCGAAGGTGCGTAATGAGGTCAGCGACTGTGGGAAAGGCGGCGAGGTCAGGAAACAGGTACGGCAGCATGAGGCGGCTAAGGGCAGCAGTGGCAGGGGAAGAGTAGCGTGCAACTACAGCATCGTACAAGGTCTTAGCACTCTTGTACTGACTAAAGTGCGCGCGCTCAATGGACGGCAAGTGACTACGCACAGCAAGACGGGCAGCAGCATCGCGTGTGGCCCACTGTGAGCGAACAGTGCTGTCAGCATCGGCAGCAGGGGCAGCAGAGGCGCCAGACGTGAGATCGAACAGTGAGAGACCGTCCTTCCTATCGCACTGCAGGAAAAGCTGCAGATCATCGACCCAGACCTCAAAGTCAACAGCCCGACCCTCAGCATCAAAGACTAGAACGCTAGGGGTAGCCATGACAGCAGTGGCAGCTGGCTAGGGGCAGCAGTAGCAGGCGTGGCTCGGCAGTGCTCTCACCAGGGCTGGTAGGTAGGGGCCGGCAAGCGGTGGGGCAGGGCCGAGGCGCGTCGGCAGGGACAGAGCCGCGACCGCGGCGGCAGCTCCTGCTGTCAGAGGCGGCGGCAGTCGCGGCTGTCGGCGGCGACGGCTGCTGCTGGTGGCGGCCGCCGCTGCTGTCGGCGGCGTCTGCTGCTGGCGGCTGCTGCTGGCGGCGGCGGCGGCGGCTGCTGCTGGTGGCGGAGGAGCCGAGAAGGGGCCGGGAAGGGTGGCGACGGGGCCACGAAGGGCGGCGACGGGGCCGAGAAGGGGCCGCGAGGGGCCTCGAAGGGCGGCGACGGGGCCGTTAGGGGCGACGACGGGGCCGCGAAGGGGGCCGCGAGGGGCCAAGAAGGGGCGGCGACGGGGCCGCGAAGGGGCCGCGAGGGGCCTCGAAGGGCGGCGACGGGGCCGATAGGGGCGGCGACGGGGCCGATAGTGGCGGCGACGGGGCCGCTAGGGGCGGCGACGGGGCTGTAACGGGCGGCGACGGGGCCGCGAGGGGCGGAAACGGAGCCGTGAGGGGCGGCGACGGGGCCGCTAGGGGCGGCGACGGGGCCGCGAAGGGTGGCGACGGGGCCGCTAGGGGTGGCGACGGGGCCGTGAAGGGCGGCGACGGGCCGCGAAGGGCGGCGACGGGGCCGCTAGGGGTGGCGCGAAGGGCCGTGAGAGGGGCCTCTAGAAGGGCGCGACGGGCCGCTAAGGGCAGGGGACGCGACGAGAGGGCGGCCCACGGGGCGCGCCTCGGGCAGGGGCGACTCGCGCTCCAGTCAGAAAAAAAAAATCGATTTTCAGTGGTGGGCCCTAGGAAGCGTTCCCACTAGGGAACCTGCTCTATACCATGTGAAGAAATGAGGAATGAATGCACTGGCAAACAGGTGGGTACAAGTAGGAAAACCTAAAAGTGTTGTACCCCATATTGTCTACCCCACTACAGCCTACACAGACTATAGCACATAAGTTTGACACCCCCGCCTCCCCACGACCCCACCCCCCCACCTCTCCCACGCACCAGCAGCCTTTGAGTTCCTCACCTCACTCGAATCAGCCATTGATGCCGCTCGCACCTCCATCCTTAAAGCTCAAGCCAAACAGACCCACTATGCCAACTCCCACCGCAAATATATACGCTTCAAGGTTGGCGATCAAGTGTTACTCTCCACTGACCACCTACCTCTCCTACGCAAAGGCACAACCAGAAAACTCGCCCCTCGCTTTATTGGCCCGTTCACCATCACCCGAGTCCTCTCACCAGTCACCTACTGTCTCCAACTGCCCAGCTATATGAAGATTCACCCCGTCTTCCATGTCCAGCGCCTCCGCCCTTTCCGTGCACCTTCACACGACCGTCCAGCCACGCGCCAACTGCCACCGATGTTCGAAGGCAGCCCCGGCCTGTTTGAGGTTGCATCTATCGCTGCACATCGCGACACACCTCATGGTCGCGAGTTTCTTGTTCATTGGAAGGACCAGCCCACTAGTGACGACTCATGGGAACCAGAGAGCCACCTTGACCGTGCCGCAACTGCTGTGAATCGGTATTTGACCAGCCACGGTTTGGCGCCACTTGGAGGGGGAAGTAATGTAACAGTGTGGCAGCCGAATGCTGCCAAGTACAGTGCAGGTGGGCGGAAGTCAAGCGCCACCTCACCAACTGTTCGTATTGGTCAAACGCCTCAACCTGCAGCTGGGCGACCAGGTCCTGACGCGCAGCCCAACACAAACCCTCGAGCGAAAATTACGAAACGCAGAACACCGAAGTTCCGACCGCTCGCCGACTTCGCCAACAACACCGACGAAATTACAGCCCCGTAACCAAGCTCGCCGTCCAGTCCCGTACCGCAATAATTCTCTGAATTTCACGGCAGGTTCATTTCAAAGGGGTTGGGTTACCATTGAGAAATTCAGAGAGAGTCGCGACTTGGGAGTGCGACTCGATATTTGAATGTGCTCTATAAAATTGTACTGTGAAATTTGTGAAGTCATAGTGCAATTTCCAGAGAACTCCAGAGAGCACTCTATCCTCGTTTTCCTAGCCTACTAAGGCTGCTACTTCCCTGCCAGCAACGTTTCAGTCTCCACTGTCAACTTCGAGTGTATCCTCGCCTCTCATTTTTTCCAGTGCTGTCAAGCCATGGATTCTGTCTTATGGCCGCCTACCGCGTTTCGCGATCGTTCGCCGGAATGGTTCACCGCGCTCTTCCCGCATAATCCCGCCATGGCAGCGGCGCGCGAATGCGAAACGACTCAAGCCGAGGACTCGCTCTGGTCCATCCAATCGCACTTCCTGTCGCATGTCCAGTCGCAGCAGAGCCAGCAGCAGCGTCATCCTATGCGACAGTCGCAAGGCCTACACGTAGGCACGATGCTAAATGTCCCAGCGATTGGGTCTGCTGAGGAACGCAACAGGCGGCGAATGTCCCGATTGCCGCAGCGTCGCTCCGATTCTGGCACGGATCCTCTTCCTAACGCGTATAAATCTGGATCAACAGCGCCAGTTAGGTTCCGCCCATACCCACCCCCGTCGCCGACGTCGTCCGAGGAAGCGCATGCGCGGCGTGTCCTTGCGGAAGCGATGGCCCATGACTGGCGGCATCCGGATAGCGACGGAGCGAACGGAGTGGGTGGAGAAAAGGATGAGAAGAAATTGAATATCCCCGATCAGGTGGTTTCTAAGTTGGAATCGTCGCGCTCTGGGGGAGAGGAGGCATGCGCGCACGAGCGGCGGGGTTCTGGCAGCGCGGTAGCAGGCATCGTATGGCAGGCGGAAGGCTCAGCGGAAGGTACAGCGGAAGGCGCAGCGGAAGGAACAGCAGAAGGCGCAGCGGAAGGAACAGTGGAAGGCGCCGCGGAAGGTGCAGCGGAAGGCGCAGCGGAAGGCGCAGCGGAAGGAACAGCGGAAGGCGCAGCAAAGGGAGCGGCGGAAGGAACAGCAGAAGGTGCAGCGGAAGGAGCAGCAGATGGAACAACAGAAAATTCGGCAGAAGGAGTAGGGGGCAGCACACAAGCAGGAGAGGCGGGGACTCCCCAGCAGGAGCGGATGCAGGCGGACGCGGACGGGGGTTCGAGCGGGGAAGCTGTAGGGGATGGAAGCAGGGAAGGAAGGGGAAGGGAGGTGGCGGGTGGAAGAGGCTTGCACGAGCAGAGCGATCCAGGTACAGGCGGGAACATCAGCACAGGCAGAGAGGAGGCTGGGATTGGCTTTGAGGTTACGGATGCGAATGAGAGTGATGGTGACGGTGCAGGCGGTGTGCTGTTCGGCGGGATGCTGCTGTGTTCTCTGCAACCGCAGGATTTCACTCTGAGTGCTCACCTGAGGGAGGCAGCAGCCCTTCAGCGGCAGCAGCAGCAGTGGCGGCAGCAGTGGAAGCAGCAGCAGCAGAAGCAGCAGGAGCAGCAGCAGCAGCAGCAGCAGCAGCAGCAGCAGCAGCAGCAGCAGCAGCAGCAGCAGCAGCAGCAGCAGCAGCAGCAGCCACATCAGCTACCCTTGCAGGAGGAGAAGCAAGGGGAGCCGCAGAAGCAGCAGCAGCTGGGTAGGGGCAAGCGCCATTGTCCTGGGAGGAGTGAGAACAGGAAGTGGAGGCGAGTTGGGCTGGCAGCCTTGGAAGGGGGGCCGCTTGATTTGTGGTCACGGAAGAGAATGGAGGGAGGGGGGAATGAGCATGGAGAGGAAAGGGAGGGAGAGCAGCAGATGAAGGGGAAGCGCAAGAGGGAAGGAGTTTGCGAGGAGGAGGAGGAGGAGGAGGAGGCGGCGATAGAGGTGGGGGAGGAGAAGGAGGGGGAGGAGGGGGAGGAGGGGGAGGTCGAGGAGGAGCATGAGGAGGAAAAGGAGGTTGCGGTGGAGGAGGAGGAGGAGGAGGAGGAGGAGGAGGAGGAGGAGGAGGAGGAGGAGGAGGAGGAGGAGGAGGAGGAACAGGAGGAGGAAGTCGAGGGGAAGGAGGTAGAGGAGGGGGGAGAGGAGGCGGGAGATAACGCGGAAGAGAAGGAAAAGGAGGAGGAAGAGCAGGAAGCGGAAGCAAAAGCGAAGGAGGAGATGGAGGTTGTGGGGTGGAGAGTTGGTGCAAGGAGACGCAAGCTTGTTTCACTGGCTTTTGTGTGTTCGCGCGCCCAAGAAAGGACACGGAGTGACCGAGATGGGCTTGTAAGGGTTGAGATAAGGGAGGGTGGAGGAAGTGCCCTAGGTGGAAGGGGAGGAGGAAGAGACAGGGGAGGAGGAGGAGGAGGAGGAGGAGGAGGAGGAGGAGGAGGAGGAGGAGGAGGAGGAGGAGGAGGAGGAGGAAGAGGAGGAAGAGGAGGGGGGGGTGGGGAGGGGAGAAGGAGGAGGAGGTGGTGGTGGTGGTGTTGGTGGTGGGGGTGGGGGGGATGGAAATGGAGGTAATGGAAAACGAAAGGCTAGAGGAAGAAGGAAAAGACTAGGAGAATTGGGCGGTGGAGAAGTTTGGGGGGGGGGAGCCAAGAGGGATATACTGAGCGTGGCGGCGTGCAACAGGGAAGACGAGGAGAACAGGTTGGGCAGGAAGAGCAGGGTGGATGTGGGATTGCGAGGACATGTGGAGGGAGGTGAGGGTGGTGAAAGGGTCAAGATACACAAGGGTGGCGGGATTGGTGGGACTGGTGGGAGTCGTGGAACTGCTTCTACTGGTGGAGAGAGAGGTGGGAGGGAGGGAGGAGTTGTGGGGGGGAGGAACATGGGCAAAGGAAAGCTGGATGTGGGGAGAGAAGCGAAGAGGAAACGTTTCAGAGCTGTGGCGAGCGTGAAGGGGAAGTCTGTGAGGGAGAAGAGGAGAGGGAGGGAGAGGGGTAAGGCGAGGGAGGGGAGAGAGGAAGGGGAAATCTGTTTTAGGAAGAGGTGGAAGCTCAAGGGGAGGTGGGAGAGCATGCATCTGTGGTTCCGCGTGTTTGGTGTTGTTGGAGTGAGGTGCAACAAGAGGGTGGCTCGGTGGAGATGTATTAGAGTGGTCAAGAGAGGACGTGTAAGATGGTAGAGAAATGCAGTGCCCAAGCCCAAGTAAATACTCAGTGCCGAAGGGCATAATATTGTGTTCTATATTTCCTTTTCAGCTGCAAATCAAGAGTGATGTAATAAAACCAGAACTAATTATTGAGAGGAATATGCAGTGCAGCAATGAGGTTGCTAGTTGTGATAAAAACTTCAGTATGCTTATAGGTACTGAAATAGAATCTCTGACAAGTTTGGGTCTTCCGCATTGATGTGAGAATGCCACTATCGCGTCTATTTCCTGACCCTGTTGGCTTGACTAGTCGCATTTCACGGACCCCTTGCTCGTATCTAAGTCAGTCGTTCCGTCAGGAACGGGAACGACGGAAGGAAAGGAGACGGGAGGGTTCGCGATACGAGATATCCGTTTCGGTGTGCCGCAGTCGCTCTTTTCCACTTATTTTTCCCCCTTTTCCGTTTTCCTCTTCGAAATTTATTGTATTCGCCACTCGCTAAATCCGTGAAGCATTTCCCTAGCGCGCAGCGCAGCGCAGGCAGCCAATCAGCAGCATGGCTGACGTGGACCCGACCGTATGGGTGCTTCTAGTGGTCGCGATGCTGCTAATGGCGGCCGGCGCGGCGTCCTGGCTGGTAGCGACGTCTAGAGCGACTAAAGACCCTGGCGCCAAGAAACGGGTAGGTTGCACCGGCCCATGCGGAGCGGCGTCGCGGGCGCGGTCTCGGGGAGAGACTTTTGGGGAGTGAGCGAGGGAGACTGGGAGGGGCAGGAGGAAGGGGAAGCGGATGGGGGAGGGGGGAGGTTGAGGGGAAGGGGAAGCGAGGAATAGTGCGGTGGAGACTGAGTTGTCGCACGAATTTATCGCGTTGAAGACAACTTTATTTCCTCACTCTTCCCCGCGAAAACTGTTGCAAGACGAATTTCTAAACATCCTGCTTCCCCTCCCTGATCGCCCCTCGCGCGTCCTCTCCCTCCGTTCCGCCGCGCAGGCGGGCGACGAGGAGGAAGAAGCGGAGGCGGCGGAAGACGGCGCGGCGACGGCGGGGGGTGGTCGGCGGAGAGGAGGCGGAGCGGCGGGGGCGGGGGCGGGGACGCGCGGAGGGGCTGCGCGGATGCGGATGCGGAGAAACCGACAGGCGGCGGCGGCTGCTGCGGCGGAGGAGGAGGGGAATGCGCATCGGGAGCGCGGGGGAGGGCGGAGAGAGGAGGAGGAGGAAGAGGAGGAGGAAGAGGCGGGAGCGGGAGCGGAAGGCCGGCGGGATCGCAGGAGACGAGAAAGAGAGGCACGGCGACAGGTAGGTTACAGACAGGTAGGACGATGAGAGCAGAGAAGGAAAGAGAAGGACCTTATTCCTTGAAAGATGCCTTTTCCTCTCACTCTCTCATTCATATCCCCCATCCTTCATTCCTCCACGTCCCACCCTCCCTCCTCAACTCCTGCCCCCTACCCCCTCGCGTCCTCCCCACTCCCCACTCCTTCCGCTTTCCCCCCCATAACCGCACGTGCCACTCCCCTCCTCCCGCCTCACAAGATTCCGCATTACATTGACTCAATAGTTCTTCCCAGCACCCGTCCCATTGGTTGTCCCATTTTTGGGGGAACTGGTCAGTCAGTACCGCTGTGATTTTAGTTTTGAGGCGCTTCAAAACTGAACAGTTCAGTCAGTACCGCTGTGATTTTAATTTTGAGGCGCCTCAAAATTGAACAGTTCAGTCAGTACCGCTGTGATTTTAGTTTTGAGGCGCTTCAAAACTGAACAGTTCAGTCATTACCGCTGTGATTTTCACTCACCCCCCTTCCCTTCCCCTCTCGCTCTTACATTTCCAAGTAAGTTCCAATCCGACTGCTCCTCTTGTGCTTGTGCATGTGTGCACATGTGAGTGCATGTGGGCTTGTGTGTGCGTGCATGTGTGTGCATGTGTGCATGCGTGCATGTTTTCCATGTGTGTGCGTGTGCATGCGTGTGTGAGCATGCATGTGGGCATCAGGCGGAGGCAGCAGCGCGGGAGGCGAAGGAGGAGAAGAGGGACGCATACGCGGAGAGACAGAGGCAAAAGGAGGCGGAGAGGGAGGCCGAGGAAGCAAAGAAGGTCCGTGCACAACGGTTGGTCGGGGTGGGTGGTGAGCGGTGGGTGGTGATGGTGGGTGGGGTGATGGTGGGTGGGGTGATGGCGGGGTGGGTGGTAATGCTGGGTGGGGTGATGGCGGGGTGGGTGGTAATGCTGGGTGGGGTGATGGTGGGTGGGGAGTGGTTAACCGAGGATATGTGGGATGGACTAACACAACCTGTTGGAGCACCATAACATAAGTGGGCATCCATCTCGTCCCTCCTTCCTTGACTCTTCCCTCACCTCTTCCCTTGTGGGCACTTTTGATGTCCCTCCTACCTATCCCCCCATCACCCTTTGCCTCCCCTCGCCCCCGCCCCCTCCCCCAAGGCGCAACAGGCAGGCAGCAGAGTAGGAGGCATGGCGGCAGCGTGAGGCGGAGGCGGAGGCGGAGGCGTGGAAGGCGAGGGCACCGTGCCGGGCGACGAGCAGCAGGAGAGAGCCAGGGGCTTAGGGCTCCTCTTTCCTCGTCGCTTCTCTTATCTCTCTCCCCTCACTGTGGCCCTTCCAGGCGCACTTTTGAGTCGACTCAAAAGTCACCTCTTATCTCTCTCCCCTCACTGTGGCCCTTCCAGGCGCACTTTTGAGTCGACTCAAAAGTCACCTCTTATCTCTCTCCCCTCACTGTGGCCCTTCCAGGCGCACTTTTGAGTCGACTCAAAAGTCACCTCTTATCTCTCTCCCCTCACTGTGGCCCTTCCAGGCGCACTTTTGAGTCGACTCAAAAGTCACCTCTTATCTCTCTCCCCTCACTGTGGCCCTTCCAGGCGCACTTTTGAGTCGACTCAAAAGTCATCTCTTATCTCTCTCCCCTCACTGTGGCCCTTCCAGGCGCACTTTTGAGTCGACTCAAAAGTCACCTCTTATCTCTCTCCCCTCACTGTGGCCCTTCCAGGCGCACTTTTGAGTCGACTCAAAAGTCACCTCTTATCTCTCTCCCCTCACTGTGGCCCTTCCAGGCGCACTTTTGAGTCGACTCAAAAGTCACCTCTTATCTCTCTCCCCTCACTGTGGCCCTTCCAGGCGCACTTTTGAGTCGACTCAAAAGTCACCTCTTATCTCTCTCCCCTCACTGTGGCCCTTCCAGGCGCACTTTTGAGTCGACTCAAAAGTCACCTCTTATCTCTCTCCCCTCACTGTGGCCCTTCCAGGCGCAAGAGGCGGCGGAGGAGGAGGAGCTGGAGTCGTGGAAAGGGATGTTCTTTGTGGAGGGGGAGGGAGGGCACGGTGGAGGGGGACGAGCAGCACGAGAGAGCCAGGGGCTTAGGGCTCCTCTCCTCGTCTCTTGACTTATCTTTCCCTGATATCTCCCCTCCCTTCTCCCCGCCTCACACCTCCCTCCCACTCTCCCCCTTCCCCCTTCCCACTCTCCCCCGTCCCCCCTCTTCTTTCCCCCCACTTCTCCCCGCCCCCTCCCGTCCCCCTAAAAGGCGCAAGAGGCAGCGGAGGAGGAGGCGCGGAGGCAGAGGGAGGCGGAGGCGGAGCTGGAGTCGTGGAAGGGGATGTTTTCCGTGGAGGGGGAGGGCACGGTGGAGGGGGACGAGCAGCAGGAGAGCCAGGGGCTGCTGGGGGAATTCACAGACTACATCCGCGTGAGTGGGGGGGGGGGGGGGGGGGGGGGGTGGGAACAGCGAGGAGAAGGGGGAGGGAGGAGGGGAAGGGAAAGGGAGAGCCCTTGTGGGGGAGTAAGTTGGGAAAAAGAAAGGTGGGAGGGAGGGAGAGGAGGGGTGCGGGAGTGAGTGTACTGGGGTGATTTGGGATGTGAAGGACACACATGTGGAAGGACACACATGGGAGGCGAAGGCAGAGGCAGAGGCAGAGGCAGAGGCAGAGGCAGAGGCGGAGTGTGCCCCGTAACCTCCTTTCACAAACACCTTCCCTCGCCCTGCTTTCCTCCCATCCCCCCTGCCATCACAGCGCCACAAGTGCGTGTTACTGGAGGACCTGGGAGCTCGCTTTGGGCTGCGAGCGGTGGTGAGTGGGGTGGGAATGGCGGGCGGGAAGGGGAGGCGTGTGTCAGGACAGGAGTGCTGCTAGGGTGCTGCTAGGGTGCTGCTTATGGGTTGGCCGTTAGCACATGTGTTGCCTCATATGAACGTTCTGAGGTGTCTCAAAAGTATGTGATGTCATGTGTGAAAGTGGTCGGCCACACATGTGATGCAGCAGCAGAGGTTGTCTCATGTCTCCATCGCCATGTCTTCCCTTCCCGTCCTCCCCTCTTTGCTGCGTCGTCCCCCCCCGCCTTCTTCTGCTGCCACTGCCTGTCAGGACGTGGTCAACCGTGTCGTCTCCCTCGAGCAAATGGGTACGTGCACTGCGGTGGGTTGCGGTGCTATGCAGTATTGTGCTGTGTGGTGCGGTTCCGTGCTGTGCTGCACTGTGCTCTTGCTCCTCTTCTTCTGTACCTACCTCTCCGCCACTGCCTCTCCCCTCTTCTTCTCCGCCCCCCGCCCCCCTCACCACCGCAGGGTGCATATCAGGAGGAGTGATGGACGACCGAGGCAAGTTCCTCCCTCCCAAACCCACGCCCCCCCCCCCTCTTTCCTCCTCCCCCTCCTCTCTTCCACCTCCCCCTCCTCTCTTCCTTCTCCCCTCCTCTCTTCCTTCTCCCCTCCTCTTTTCCCTCTCCCCTCCACAGGGCGCATATCAGGAGTGATGGACGACCGAGGCAAGTTCATATTCATCTCTCCAGACGAGATGAAGGCTGTAGCGAGCTACATCCGGGCATCGGGGCGAGTGAGCATTGCGGATCTAGCAGCGCGGTCCAACGAGCTCATAGACCTGGACGCTAAAGGGGAGGAGGAGAATGGGGCTGTTGGGGATGCGGGTGGTGGGGGAGGGGAAGGAGGGATATCGTGGGAGGATATTGCAGTTGAGGAGGCGATAGGGGCGGAAGGGGGAGGGGTTGGGGTGGAGCTGGGTCAAGAGCAGGTGGCTGTGGGTGCTGCATAGAGTTAGGCCGTAGCTGTAGCGAGCTACCTACATCCGGGTCGGGCATCGGGGCGAGTGAGCATTGCGGATCTAGCAGCGCGGTCCAACGAGCTCATAGACCTGGACGCTAAAGGGGAGGACGAGGAGAATGGGGAGGGGGGTGATGGGGCGGGAGATGGGAATGCGGGAGGGGGTGGGATTTCGTGGGAGGATATTGCAGTTGAGGAGGCGGTTGGGGTGGAGGGGGGAGGGGGTGGTGGTTGGGTGGAGGTGGGTCAAGAGCAGGTGTCTGTGGGTGCTGCATGAGCCGAGGAGGCATCGTGCATTCTGGATTTCGTGGGAGGATATTGCAGTTGAGGAGTCAGTAGGACCGGAGGGGGGAGTGGGTGGTGGTGGGGTGGACTTAGGGCAAGAGCAGGTGGCTGCGGAGCAGGAGATGGGAATGCGGGAGGAGGTGGGATTTCGTGGGAGGATATTGCAGGTGAGGAGTCAGTAGGACCGGAGGGGGAGGGGGGAGTGGGTGGTGGTGGGGTGGACTTAGGGCAAGAGCAGGTGGCTGCGGAGCAGGAGATGGGAATGCGGGAGGAGGTGGGATTTCGTGGAAGGATATTGCAGGCAGGCCCTACGATATCAGGATTTTTTCCCTGAAATTCCTGATTTTCAGCCTAGTTTTGTGTACCTACACTGATTTTTCAGTGTTGAGATTTTTGTGACACTGATTTTTTCAGCCTTTACTTCATAGCTAACACTGATGTTTCAGACTTTTATCGAAGTGTACACTGAATGCACATTCCTAATCCTTCCCGTGAAACACCTGAACGTCAACCAACATTTCTAAATAAACACGTATAAATTAACAAGAGACACATGCTGACGGCATGAGTTGTCTCAGTGGTTAGCGAAATTTGTACAGAATGGTAAGGTTACCGGTTCGAATCTTCCAGCCGCACAATTGATAATGGATCCTCTCTTACACAAATTCAGGCTCTTATTTTTAGTAACCCTGAAAATTCAGGTTTTTTTTTCTAGGAGCCCTGAAAATTCAGGCTTTTTTTCACAGGGACCCTGATGCATCAACGTCCCTAAAAGTGAATCTGAGGGCCTGATTGCAGGTGAGGAGTCAGTATGACTGGAAAGGGGAGTGGGTGGTGGTGGGGTGGAGGTGGGTCAAGAGCAGGTGGCTGCGGGTGCTGCATGAGGGGGTGACAGAGGGTGACGGGAGGGCACAGTTATCCTCTTGGAGGGCTAGGTGCATCTGGGTATGGAGCTAGAGTTGGAGGTGTTGGGCTGAAAAGGCCTTTAGGATCTTTACAGGACTAAACTCCTGGTAGGACTGATGTAATAGCAGAAGCGTTTAATGAAGAGTTGTGAACCACCTTGCGCTGGTATGTGAGGGCAAAGTAGATTGATTAAAACAAGGAGATACAAGATTATATAAGAGTACAAGGAATATGAAGAGATGCAGTTATAACTACTTTACTGTTGTTGTTGCGGTTCAATACAGTGACGACTTGGGCAACTGCTCTGTAACGAGTCAGTTGTGTGTCCTTGCTGTCGCGCTGTACTTGTCAAGTCAAAGGTCTCTGACCTTTGACTTTCGCGTAACCTCCAGCAGTTACTTCAACCTCCGAGGGTTGACTCGCTGGTGCTTCGATATGTTTCGCTTCGCTTGTGTCTTGGTGTTTCGACACGACAGAGGCGCTTTAGGTTAGTTGTTTCCAACACTCCCCTTCACTTCTGAAGTGTCGCTGCTGTTGACGTGGCTCTGTCCAGTCAACAGCTTGCAGTACTCGAACTTTTGCTTTCCAAGCTTCTTGGTCAAGTAGTCAGCTGCCATTTCGGATGTAGGGCAGTATGACAGCTCGAGTCTCCCCTTCTCGATCTCGTCCTTCACGAAGAAATATCGTAGGGCGATGTGTTTCGTCCTGTTCGCGAAACCGTTCTTGTTGGCTATGCGAATTGCTGACTGGTTGTCGCAGAACAGAGTGAAGCTAGGTAACTGAGCAAGCTTCGCTTCCTCCAGGAGTTCGCGAAGGTACCGTATCACCCCGGATAAAAGCGCAGGTGCGCTTATAATAAAACAGTGTTTTTTAGGGGGGTGCGCTTGTAATTGAGTCATTTGTATAAGCGCATGCGCTTATATTATGACATTGAATTGTAATTTTAAGACACCAAATTGTATATTTCACTCTTGCCATTTCAACCGAGTCGTTTTTTTTTCCCGTCACAAAGCAGAATCGCGTGCAAGCGATTCTCTCCCAGCACAGAGGGGCCAAGATGCGACACTTTGCAGTCATGCCAGCACATCCTGACTGGACGCGTAGCCAGTCAGGTCTTCGAGAGTCAAGCTAGGCGAAAATGAGATTGTACTCGCTTCGAAATTGAAACTCGCTAAAGTTTTAAACAGAAATTTTGATTTAAAATTGTACATGCGCTTATAAAAAGTAATGTTTTCACAGGGGGTGCGCTTATAATTGAGGATCGGCCATAAGCGCATTGCTCCAGATAGAAGCGCGCGCGCTTATCATAGGCCTGCGCTTCTATCCGGGGTGATACGGTACAGTCCTTCCTTGGTGGCTGAGCAGAGTGCGATATATTCTGCTTCAGCTGAAGAGAGGGCAATTAATTCCTGTTTGCTCGACAGTCGACTGCCAGGAGATAGGACCGATAGGCTCAAAGCGGTAGATGTAGCCGGTGCGGGAACGCCTGTTGTCGGAGTCGCCGGCGTGATCGGCGTCGACGTAGCCGATTAGCTTAGGAGTCGTGGTTCCATTTTTGTGGTACGTTAGGCCGACGGTTGGGGTGCTGACGAGGTAGTGGAGAGCGCGGTCGAGTTCTGCCATGTGATCTGCTACAGGTTTCTTGAGGTAGGTGGCGAGCTGGCTTGCGGAGTATGATAGATCCGGACGGCACGTAACAGCTGCGAAAAGAAGGCATCCTAGCTTTCTCTGGTAGTCGCGCATGCCGGCGGGCTTTAGTGGAGCGGATCCTTCCTTGTGGTTTCCTGCCGTGTAGCGATATGGCGTGGAGATGGTGGTCGGCGTGAGAGCGAAGCGTTTGGCGATGGTGTCGGCGTACTTCGCGGCACTGAGGTAGATCGCGTCCTCTTCTTCCCGTATGTTGAGCCCGAGATATTGCGTAACGGTAGACGAGACCGTGAGTGTGAGGTCTTGTTGTAGCTCCCCTTCGAACCAGGTGGTGACGCCGTCGGTTGACCCGATGTAGAGTAGATCATCTACATAGACGATCAGCAGGATGTAATCGGTGCCCTTTGTGAGCCGGTACATGCCTTGGTCGTGAGGTAGCTGGCGGAATCCGATGCGAATGTGTCTTGTGTGCAGGTACTGCTGCCACAGCCTCGTAGCTTGTTTGATGCCGTAGAGCGACTTCAGCAGCTGACAGACTTGGTTAGGCTCTCCGTTGGAGCCGTGCGGTAGCTCGACGAAGATTTGTGCGTCGACAGGTGCGTAGAGAAATGCGTTGGCGACGTCAATTTGTCGCAACTTCTTTTTCTTCATGGCGGCGATCGGGAGGAGGATTCGCAATGACGTGTGTCGGCTAACCGGGGCGAACGTCTCAGTGAAGTCGCGCCCGTGTTCTTGGTCGAAGCCGCGTACGACCCAGCGCGCCTTAAATTTGTCGATGGTGCCGTCTGCCTTCGTCTTCACGCGGAAGACCCATTTTCCGGTGAGTACTGTCTTGTTCCGTGCTACGCCGATGGGAACGACTTTCCAGGTATTGCGTTCTTCCAGTGCCTTCAGCTCCCTGTCCATGGCTTCGCGCCATTTTTCCTTATGCTCCCCCCCCAGAGCCTGTTGAACTGTCGCAGGCTCCTTAGGAATGGCTGTCCCGTGGACTGCGGTGACGAGGCCGAGTATCTGGAGTCCACTCTGTGTGTAGCGGGGAAGTGATGTGTCCTCGGGATAAGCTGTTTCGTCTCCCGCTTCTGGTGTAGGATTGAAATTTGGTCCTACGCGTTCTGCTTCGTTGGTGTTGACTTGTGCAGGTGTAACGTAACCGTTGTCGGCGAAATGGTAATAGGCTTCGGCGTTGATGCTTTCGCGTGGATTTTCGTCATCCATTGGGACGTCGACTGAGCAGTAGGGGAGAGGTCCGGCTTCTTCCGAGGCTCCTTCCACGTTCTGTTCATCTTCTGCCGAAGCGAAGGCTCGGGTACCAGGAAAGCCATCGGTGCGGTCGGGGTTTCCTTCTTGCAAATTGGCGAGGTAATACCGGAGGGTGAGTCCTTCGTAGAAGATGGCATCACGTGCTGCCACTGTTTCCTTTGTCTCGATGTCGAAAATCTTCCATGCGTTGTAATGCTTTTCGATGCCCAGATGTAGTCCCCACTGTGCGCGTTGGGAGAATCGACCGGCTCGTGCAGATGGGGGCCGGTACTGTACCATGCAGCCGAAGACTCTCAACATTTTTGTGCTGCCCAGTTTTCCTGTCCACAGTAGATGTGGTGATGCGTTGTTCGGGAGCGATGATGACGAGAGCAAGTTGTGCAGCATGACGGCGTGGTCCATTGCTTCGGGCCACTGGTGGTTGGGCAGGTGCATGCCACGTAGCAGCTTGCGCATGGTGTTCTGGAGGGTCCTGTTCATCCTTTCTGCTACACCCTGCTGTTGGTGGGCGTAAGGAAGGGAGATGAGCCGCTTGATTCCTCTCTCTGCCAAGTACTGCTTGAACCTCTGTGAGGTGTATTCTCCCCCTCCATCTGACTGGAAACTTTTGAGTTTGACGCCTGATTCTCGTTCCGCCACTGGAAGCCAGGCGACGAAGGCTTCGAGGGGCATGTCCTTGCTTGGAAGGTTGAGGTGCCAAACGTAGCGTGTGGCTGCGTCGATGAACGTGATGGTTTAGTTGTATGCGTTCTGCCCGGGTTCGCGATTGTACAGGATGTCGCTGTACACCTTTTCCAGAGGTGCGTATGCAGGTGCGCTTGGATTGTGGTGTGAGACAAAGGGCTGGTGCGGTAAGTCAGCTTCCGGACAGGTGAAGCACGTTCCGCGAACTCGCTGGAGTTCTCTGCCGTCAGTTAGGAGTAATGAATCTTTGTCGAGCACGCCTGCTCTTATCGTGTTGTTTAATACCGTGTTGCTTGGGTGTCCCATTCTTGCGTGCCAGGTTCCTTCGGTGACGCGATGTCCGGGTGAACGCCGATAGATGTCGGAGTTAGAATAGAAGCTGGCGGTGAAGTTGGCGCTTCGATGAACTTCTCATGGTGCCGGTTTTAGCTGCTGCGCGGGTGTCGGTGGTGTGTCGTCGACGAAGATCGGTGCCGTTGAGGGACCAGCGATTGGTGTTGATGTTGCCGCTGCTGTTACCGTTGTCTCTGCTGCTGTCGTTGTTGTCTCTGCTGCTGCCGTTGTTGTCTCTGCTGCTGCCGATGTTGTCTCTGCTGCTGCCGATGGTGTCTCTGCTGCTGCCGATGTTGTCTCTGCTGCTGCCGATGTTGTTTCTGCTGCTGCCGGATGTTGAATTGTCGCTAAC